CTTGCTGAATTCAATCCCTGGTTAAAAAAAAAAAAAAAAAAAAGAAGAAGAGGAAGAGGAGGAAGAGGAGGAGGAGAAAGAGGAAGAAGAGGAAGAAGAGGAAGAGGAAGAAGAAGAAAAGAAGCAAAATCCAACAATATGCTGTATACAAGAAACACATTATTATTATTATTAGTAGTAGTAGTAGTAGTAGTAGTAGTAGTAGTACTGGGGATCAAACTCAGGTCCTTGTGCTTGCAAGGCAGGCAGCAGAACCACTGAGCTAAATCCCTGGCCCCCAAAAAACACTTTAAAAAAGAAATTCATAGACTGAAAGTAAAATGATGGAAAACAACTCTCCATGTGACATGAACCTGGAAAAAAGCAGGGGTAGCTACCTTATTTGCAGCCAAAGTATATTTGAAACCCAAACTACTTAAGAGAGACAAAAAAGTCACTACATCCTTGGAAAGGGAAGAATTCAAGAGGATGAGATAGTAACCATAAACATATATGCACCAAATACTAGTGCCCCCAACCACATAAAATAAATACTAAAGGGCATTAAAAAAACCAAATAAGCACCAGTAGAATTGTAGAGGGGGACCTCAATACCCCATTGTCACAAATAGATCCTCTCCACAAAGAAATCAACAATGAAATACTAGAACTGAACCAAGCTTTTGAACAAATGGAATTAATAGATGTCTAGAGTGTTCCGCTCCACAAAATCAGAATATGCATCTTTTAGGCTGGACACAGGAAATTCTCCAATACACCACATGGTAGCTCCTAGAATATGTTTAAGTAAATGCAAAGGAACTGAAGTTATCCCATGTATACTATCAGACATAGTGTGATTAAATTAGAGTTGGATAGCATAAGAAACTGCAAGATCTTCACAAACACATGGAAATTAAATTAACACTCCCCTGAATGACCACTGGGTCACAGAGGAAATTAAAGAAGAAATTAGACAGTTTCTCCAATTAAATGATAATGCCAATACAACATACAGGAAACTATGGGATATAATGAAAACAGTCCTATGAGGGAAATTCATAGCAGTGAATGCCTGTGCTAGGAAAACAGAGCGAGCTCAAATAAACAACCTAATCTGAATCTCAAGCTTCTAAAAAAAGAAGAGCAAGACAAACCCAAAGCACATACAAGGAGGAAATTATAAAGTTCAGAGCAGAAATAATGCAATGGAGACTAAGAAAACAAAACTGAATTGAAGAGTTGGTTTTTCAAAAGAATAAATAAGATGGATTAAACCCTTAGCCAACCTTATCAAAAAAGGAAAGAATTTCTCATGGTCTCTTACTATTTTTAAGAAATCTGTCTTTTCATGGTCACTAATCCCTTTCACAATAGCATCCAAAACAATGAAATATCTAAGAATCAATCTTACAAAGGAAACAAAAGACCTCTACATTGAGAACTACAACATTGAAAAAAAGAGATGGAAGAGGATATAAGAAAATGGAAAGATATCCCTTTTTCATGGGTAGGAAGAGTCAATATAGTGAAAATAGCCATACTTCCAAAACTGCCATACAGATTCAATGTAATCCCTATTGAAATCCCAAAAGTATATTTCACAGAACTAGAGAAAATAATCAAAAAATTTATTTGGAGTCAGAAGAGCCCTAGAATATAAAAAGCAATTCCAGGCAAGAGTGACATGGCAGTGGGTAGGTATCAAAATCCCCAACTTGAGGGCCAGGGTTTTGGTTCAGAGGTTCTGCCTTCTGCCTTGCAAGTGCAAGGAACTGAGTTCGATCCCTGGTACCAAAAACCAAAAAACCAATCATCAACTTGAAACTATACTACAAATCCACTGTGATAAAAACAGCATGGTACTGGCAGAAACAGACCCGAGGATCAGTGGAACAGATGAGAAGATGCAGAAACAACTCCTCATATACTCAGTTTCCTCATCTTTGACAAAGAAGAGCCAAGCACCCTCACTGGAGGAAAGATAGCCTCTTCAATAAATGGTGTTGGAAAAAATGGATTTCAACTTGTCAAAGATTAAAACTAGACCCGTATCTTTCACCATGCACTAAACTAAAGTCCAAGTGGATTAAAGATATAAATATTAAAATACAAACACTAAACTTGCTGGAAGATAAGTTAGGAAGAAATCTTGAAGAGATTGGTACAGGAAAAGACTTTATGAACAAAACCTCAGTAGCGCAGGAACTAGCACAAAGAATCAACAACTGGGACCTCATCTTATTAAAAAGCTGCACTGCAAGAAAAGCCACCAACCGTGATGAGACCATTTACAATGTGGGAAAAAAAAATTTTCTCACCTGTTCCTGTGCAACACCCTGGAACTGTGGGGGTGTGTGGTAGAATTAGGCTGAACTTCTGATTGCCAAGCTCTCCCTCCAGCATCCAGCGCCAGAGCTTGCTGAGGACTTTAAAGCGATGCTGCCCTTCCCAGAGCACAGCTATCGGTGCGTTGCAGGGGGCAAGTGAAGCCTGTGTGGTTGGATTATCTTTTCTCCTTGTAACTGGGGATTGAACCTAAGGCCTGTGCCCTGAGATACATTCCAGCCCTCTAAAAATTTTATTTTATTTTGAGACGTGGTCTCCATGCATTTTTCCTGCCCTGGCTGCTCTTACAGTGAGCACCTTCAGCAGGCTTGCAAGACAGGGTTTGAGCGGATGGTTGGGTGGGACACCGAGGCTGACGGGACCTCGGACTCCCACAGTAAACCTCATGAGGCCTGGCTATCGGAGGGGGCCTGGAACAGGTTGTTCATGGCACTGGCCCCTTGCAGCACTGTCCCAGGGAGTCTGGGGTGCTTCCCAGTGGCCTGCGGCCCCTAGGCAGGCACTGGGCTTCCTCTGCAGCACACTGCTCTGTGTTCTATGGGAATGTGACAGACAGGCCGGGTTGTGCCGCTGGAATCAGCAGATGACACAGGAGCAGTCTTTCTCAGGCAGAACAGGGTAGATTCCCCAGCACACGGCACAGACAACTGCAGAGGACACTGGAGTGCCTCCACTCACTCTGTCCACAGCCAGGGACCTCTCTCCTCTCCACTTGCCAGACTAAGAATCAGAAACATAGACAAGTTGAGCCATGTGCCTGGGGTTGGTAAGTGGCACGGCTGGAACAGAAACTCCGACGTTTCCTGATCTCTTCCTAGGGAGGAGCAGTGAGCTCATCTGTAAATTTCAGGCTGCAAGGGAGAGACTGTGGACAGGAACCCTCAGCCATCTCTGCTTTCCAGCCGGCACCCTGGGGATCGTCTGCTCTACAGTGAGTGAGCCTTTTGGGCATTACTGACTCTCTTGGGTTGGGTATCCTGGGCCCACTGTTCTGATTCTATGGGCCTCACTTTCTCCATGTGGACCGAGCCAGTGGTCTCCCATTCCAGCTTCCATCATCAGGCATGGATTTGGTCAGCAGCAGAGTCCCAGACTTCTTTCTGACAGACAAAGCCTGAGTCAGGGCCAGGAATCTGCAGTTTTTCACAGGGACATTAGGAGTTTGGATGGAGGGAGCTGCAGAAACACATTTGTTTCTAAGCAGCACTGGAGGGAAAGGACCATGTACTTCAGCATCCCACAGGTCATTCGAGGTGCCCACTAATTGAGTGTATTGGTCTCATGCTCAGCTGACCAGTTGCTTTTGCCAGAATCCTCACCTCCTTGGAGACAATGTACCTACCTCCTTCCTCCATCTCAGAGATGAGAAGGCAGCCGAGCAGGGAACACCATCTCAGAGTCTGGGATGAGCACAGGAAGCTTCAAGCTCAAGTCTCGCATCCAGGAGGGCATCTGTGAGGTGGATACAGGGGTGCTGGCCAGGTGTCAGGGTGACTGCTCAGGCTCATGGAAGCGCTGGACAGGGGGTGGCTCTGGGGCATGATGACACTACTGTTTGTTGGTTTGGTTTCCTGGAGCCATGACATAAGGCAGGCAAGTGGAGGTGGCTCTGGAGTCCCCATCTTGGGGTCTCAGAGCACATGCTTGTTCTCAATTTGAGGGGCTTCCCAGAGCCCTGGTATTCTCCATGCCTAGCTCATTTCTAGCAGGTGCCCCATCCCAACACAGGAACACACCAAGGTGAGACTGTCAGACATGGGCCCAGAGTTCCCCCTGCAGTCTTCCCTGGGCCCTGGGAGAAGCCTGACACCGATCACTGAGTCCCTATGTAGAGGTTCAGGGCTCTTCACTTACCTGCTGCAGCCTGCTCCATCCTCCCTGCCTCCCCTAGCACCTGGAAGATGGGAGACGAATGTCACAGCATCCCACATCCAGAGGGAAGGAGAGCCAGCAGCAGGCCTGGCCGGCACGGCCCTGGGGATGGAACCCTAGGCCTTCACACTGAGCTCGATCCCCAGCCATTTATTTTTATGTTCTGAGACAGAGTCTCACTAAGACATTAAGTTGCCCACACTGGGCTCAAGCTTGTGACCTTCCTGCCTCAGGCAGAAGGGCTGGGATTACCGTTGAGTGCCACCATGCCTACTCGGAGATGTTTCTTGAGGCATACTGAAGTGATTTTAAAGATGACAGAAACACATGCAATAATGTGCAACAGTAGAAGCAAATAAACGTCTAATTCCTTAATTAAATACATACATAGCAGATGGTGTCATCCTGTACTGATTGTGATTAAACCAGGACTCTGCACCCTGTTTACACTGATGTAGGGAAAGTTTCCTTTTCTTGAGCCAGGGACTCACTGAAGATCAGGCTCGCCTCAAACTCCTGCTAATCCTCCTGCCTCATCCTCCCCCTTCCTGAGCGCTGGGATTACAGATGGGCATCACCATGCCTGACATAGGTCAAGTATTTTAAATTAGACAGCTGATAACAAAACTCTCCCATGTTTCAAACACAGTCATTGATATGCTACACATTTTATTTCTTATCTCAATATATGTTCTTATGAAATTTGTTACTAACAGTGGTTGTGTAATAAAATGTTTCTTATAAAATTGTCAAAGAAAGATGTTATTGCTTCAGGCAGGAATTCAAGCACCAAGATAAGAAGCCATATCTGAAGTATTTTATTTGTTCACATTTATCCTATTTGAGGTTGACTCTACTTCATTTGACAGTTTAAAAATTATTCTGTAAACAAAATTAAAAATCACAGCAGTAACAGCTAAAATAAGGACATCATGTATAATAAAATAAAGGAATGTGTTGGAAGGAATATTCAGAATAAGCCAAGAAAATGTGTACATGATTGTGAATTCAACAGTAGGATGAAAACCTTCCAGTGTCTGTAGAACAAACAAACAAAAAATCACCAAACCCCAAATCATAACAGTAATAAAAAAAAAGAAGCAAGAATTCAAAGTGCAGGTGTGCTAGTTTTCATTTCCATATCCATTCAGGAAATAAATAGAGCATACTATTCTTTTATATAAAGTGACAAGTCCTGTTTTAAAACTCTTAGTTCCATTAGCTTGCAGAATTTTTTTCAGTTTACTTTATCTCTACATTGATTTACTGGGAACATGGTCTTATGCGATACATGGTATGATTTCTTCAGTCTATGGAGAGTACAGAAATGGTGAAGTTCATTGTTTTTTATTTTTTGCTTTATTTGTAGTGAGTAACAAGAAGTTGAAAATCCAGTATCAGAAGCATTATCACGTTTACTCTTTCAAAAGCAAAACAAAAAAGCCTATCCTGAGCCATCTGTTGCCTTGTTGCCACTTTCAGACCCGCTGTAACTAAAGATGGACACGAAACCGCAACAATCTGTTCATGCAAAACTGGTCTGGCATCTGCCCAGCTTGATGTGATTCTGTAAAAATCACTTCCATCTTCCTAATTGTTTGGAACCTTAAATATCTAACCCTTAAGTGAGACCACCATGTTGAATATGAATTTTGAGGAGAGTGTTTATGAATATACTTCAAATGTTAAAAAATACCTGTAATACTTGCTAAAGTAGAATAGGATTTCCCCCACCGGACTGAGGCTTCTCTAAGGGCAGTCAATTGTGGCCATTTCTTCTTCCTTACGGCTCTAATTTTATTTCAAAGCCCCAATACATAAAACAATGGCTGCCTTATTTAAAGCTAAACTGCATTATTATTTTTTTAAACCATGTATACAGCTCACAGCAAGATTACTGAGTTATCATACACACATCTGATCCCTGAAAGGCTCACCTTTCCAGGGAAATTCGCCCTCTGGTGGCCAGACCCAGCAAGTGTGCTGCGCCTACACGGAGATGTTCCAGGATTTCTCAACAGTTTTCATTATGAGGGAAATGCTAGGCTTCGAGCCCAGGACTCATAAATATTTCATTTGAAAGGAAAAGAAACGCCAACGCAGGAGGAGAACACAGAAAAGCTCAGCCCGACAGGGCGGCTATCTCGCAGTCGCTGGCCGAGCACGCCGGCCTGCCCGCCGTGCGGATGCTCTTGGCGCCGGTGATCCGGGCCATCATGCTCACCGGCTTGTCGAAGTACTTCACCAGGGCGGGCTCGGTGAGCAGTGAGGCCAGGAACTGCTCGAAGGTGATGGCCCAGTCCCGGTCCAGGCTGGTGCTGCGGGGCAGCGCGGTGGTGCCCCGGCCGCTACGCACGAGCACCGTGTCCTCGCCGATGTCCTCGCAGTGCAGCTTGTCCTCGTCGTGGGAGCCGGCGCTCAGCACCGAGTACGACGACATGGAGCTGTCATCCTTGGTGTCGTCGTCGGAGATCAGCATGGACGAGCAGGTCCCGTGCTCCCGAGGCGAGGAGTCCTCCAGCTTGATGTCCTCCATGGGCCCCCCAAGCGAGTGCTCCTCGCTGAGGTCCGCCGCGGGTGGCTCGGTGGCCTCCACAGTGTACGGCG